TTTGAATAGACACTGCATTTGATAATCTGGTGGAAACACATACTGCATATACTCAAATGATAGATGACGAGGATGAATTTGAAACTGCAGAAATTTGGTTGGATGATGTGCAAAACCAGGTCACAACATTAAAAATGTATTCCAAAGATTATGTTAAACACTTAGATGATGAGTTCCAAGCAAAAACCCAGAATGTTGAAATTCCCCAGAGCCCTGATCAAATAAACCTGTCACCCTCTTCATCCCCTAATGACAATTCATTACCTACTGATATCCAGAGTAATTCTGATGTAAATAATATTGTTGATCCTGACAACCACAGTATAGACGATAATCCGAGTAAATCTGCTGTCAATCCGAGTACTTCTGCTGATGATAATCCGAATCCAACTACTTCTGCTGTTGTTAATCCGAGAGATTCTGCTGCTGCTAATCTGAGAAATTCTATTGCTGTTAATCCGAGAAATTCTACTGCTGTTAATCCGAGAAATTCTACTGCTGTCAATCCGAATAATTTTGATGCTGATAATCTGAGTACCGAGAATATGAATGGTCTTACTGCTTCAACTAGCCTGAATAGTAATTCTGTCAGTGGAAACCCTACACAATCTACCGATGTTTGTCAATTTAAAATGGAGAAACCGAAGATGCCAAAGTTTAGTGGAGATGTTCGTGAATATTATACTTTTAAGTCAGACTTTTTGCATATGGTTTCATCGAGATATAGTAAACGAGATGCTATAACTTTACTGCGTTCCTGTACCCAAGATTTAACACGTTTCCGTCCACTAAGAGATGGTGAAGATGCACGTTTTTGCGAATTAGTTCATGTTGTCCGAAGAAGTTATAACACACTTAAAGAAATAGGCAGACCTAATGATATGAACAATAATCACATGTTAGCTTTAATTGAACAGAAGATGAACACGGAAGACAAGANAGTTTGGTTCAGATATCTTGAAAAAGACAAAAAGACTGCTGATTTAGAAGATTTATTAGAATGGATGAATGCTGAAATGAAGTCTCGTATTCGTGCTACTGCTCCTTTAAGATCATCTGGTCAACACTCAAGATTCAACATACATCATG